GGGGGGGGGGGGCTGATGACGTGGCAAATTCTTATTATTAAATATTCTTATTAATGAGAAAGTGGAAACGAAGAAGATGGTCATCAAGAGAATTGGGGTATTTTATTCGATTAAACTGAACATGAACTAAACGAACAGACAAACCAATTCAAGTAAAATCCATAAAGCTGTAAAATTAAATGACAAATAATGAGCTTTCGCTCTAGATCAACTACTCCTGTAAGTAATTTAGTGCCATTCCCATCTTCGACATCGAGGAAAAGCCTCTACTTCATGCTCCAGCCATCCTTGCTGTCCAAGTTAATATCTCTGCAAAATCCACCAGAGAAAAACCCTCCGTCCACCTTCACGTCTCCCTGATGATATAAAATGGATAAATAAGAGACAACTATTCCTATTTGTCGGAGAGAGGTAGAAGATTTGATGGCTGTAAATATCAGATCACCGGGAGTACCATCACATCCATCAATGAAACATTATTGCTCACCACTTTTGGTGGACATCCCTCCGTTAGTCCAAGAGCTTCCCGTAGGACGTGAGCCCAAGAGCCCGGCTCCTTTGATACTCTCAAATTGCCCAGATCAGCAGTACCCTGATCTTCGCGAGCCACCAATTATTGTCCCGCAATTCATCCCTTTTGTATGTCAGCTGAGGTGTAGAAACATGAATGAAAAGATGTTGAAAAACTGATGACGCAAACAAGTAGACAATTGCATTCAATTCAGAAGCAATATTGCTAACCTTCAGATTTTCGACTGCTTGTTTCCAATTAATTTTTTTATACCAACTCGACTTGGTTTTATCAGTCCCTTCCAGCACTGGGTTGTCATCAAGGATTCGAAATTCGTAGTCTTCCGAGGTTGCTTGCATAATTGAGGTACATCGTTGGACAGCCTGAACCAGAAAGCATCGAAATTGTTCAAGTGGAATTGAATTTCAAGAAAGTATATCTAGGACTCGCATGGACGCTGGCCCGGAGGCAGCAACTGATGAGAAGAAGTTGAATGACGCGCATCGTGCCAGTAATATTTACTGATCAGTCCTAATGAAGCTTCCTCCTTGTATACTCTACGAAGACTATTCTACTATCTTTCCGTGATCTTTTTGCCGACTGCACGACAATTACAGTGAGTTTTTCCGCCTTGCTATTTGATAAAGAGTCATTATTGTTGCTGCCTGAACGTTTTATTATCAGTTCCTGCGCTTAGCAACAATGTAGACCTTTCATATTCTTTCGTATTTGTTGCGTATCCCCCTTTAAATCCTGATTCACTTGTCTATCTTCCATGGGATAAATGTTAAGAAAGAGGTCCCCACCACCGATCTTTCTGAAAACTTGACCATGTGTTTGGGATGGTGTTATTTCAGTCAGAGTGTTCATAGGGAGTTCAACAGATAGTCTTAAATGACTCGGGAGTCTACTGTATTGGATTTAAAATAAATATTTTCAACAACAGATCAGAGAAAACATAAACAATTTATTCCATTAAATTGAATAAGAAATGCATCAAAGATAAAAATTCAAGTAGAATTCCTTAAATTGCAACAAATAGTCTCTCAGAAGAGATCGCCTACTCCTGTAAGTAATTTATTACCTCCACCATCTACCACATCGAGGAAGAGCCTGTGTTTTTCATTCGATCTCCATTTATCATCGGTATCTAAGGTGAAGGTTCTGCATCGTCCACCAGAGAACAAACCTCCATCGGTCTTGACCTCACCCTGATGATGTGAAATTGATGAGTAACAGAAAAATTCATCGAGAGAATTTCCATAGAAATACTGTGAGATTTATCAATAAAATTATTCCTCACCGCAGGTCTGGGACATCCGTTCGCCAGTCCGAGGGCTTCTCGTACAAAATGCGCCCAGGAGCCACCCTCGTCTCTCAGTCTCATATCACACAGATTAACCGTACCATTGGCCCTATTCCACCACCAGTAGTTGTTGCCATTGTACTTTCTTTCATCCCTCACATACGTCAGCTGCGGTACACGGAGAGAATATAAAATTCAAATATACTATGTGAATAGTAATCGAGGATCATACGAGAAAAACTTTGCAATTTCCGAAAGATCGGTGGTGGTGCCCTATTTCTTCACATTTACCCCATTATTGAAAAATATGTTTAAAAAAAATGAATAACCTTCAAGCCCGCTGTGACATTTTGTTTCCATTCAACGCGGCGGTACCAACCGGTCGTGGCCTTGTCTATACCTTTCAGCACTGGGTTATCATCTGGAATGCGATATTCGTAGGATTCCGCGTCCGCTTGGACCATCGTAACACAGCGCACTTCCCCCTGGAAGATAATGCGTCAATAGACTCATGTTCTTTCAATATTTTGAGAGTAGATAAAATTGGTGAATTGGAACTATTTTCAATTCTATGGAAGTATGCTTGAGAACTCACATATGGCCCCAGTGCATGGGTGTTTGCGCAGAGGTAGCAAATGATGAAGAATAGTGGACCGACGTATATCATATTGATTACTGATGGCTTCTGATGGATATCGCTCATTATGTACTCCGCGAAGGCAATTGGTTCGCACTATTTCCCCGATTATGACAGCCCGTCAGCTCTAGCGCATTCTTCCGCCTTGTTCTTTGATAAAAAAATAATTACTGTTGGTATCAGAAGGCTTAATCAATGGTTGCAGTATCCCGAGACCTTGAAATGAAGTTGGCAAGTTTTGTCTGATAAAAAAGTCATTATTGTTGGTATCATAACGTTCAGCTGTCAGCTCATATCGTTTGCGAAAATGTGGATTTTTCTAGTCACCACTATTATTCATTTATACATATCGAGTTCGATTCATTTTTTGCTTGCAAATCGAAGCTTTGTAATCACTCAAATTTGAGTTTCTATTGTTTTGTGTTAGGGTAACTAAATATGGTCTGAAGAGTGAATATTTCATTTTTAGATCGTGTACGCATGTATTGTTACGTGACCCCTTCGAACCTTAAGGCCCTATCTATACCTAGATGTGCCAAAAAAATATTTTCCGAAAATTTCGCTCAAAAATCTGCGAAATTGACCGAGATACAGCCATTTGTAGCGGACCCGGTCAATTTGACCTGAATAGGAGCAGAATGAAACCGAAATTTTGACTATCGTCACCTCTCGAAAAAGGTTTTTTAGGACGGTGCACATGATATTTGCAACACCAGTGTATTGATCTGTATGAAATTTCTTCTGAAGATTGTTTATAGTGTTTTCTCGCCACTGACAATTTTTTTTTCTTTTTTCACAACATTGTTCATTACTATTGTCCAAAACATGGTGAGGTTTTGTTCCGAAATGGCATGAATCTTTCAAAAACAATTTTTTAATTTTTTTTTGGAACGCGAATGGCCCACCCCATTAATGTTATTTAAGGAGCGCTTCATTTTTTCATTTCAGATACGATGAATAGTACTTTTTGTGTGCACGAGGGACGTGGGATGAATCAAACCGATTCTGTTTAGTAGTCTGAAGAATGGGTACATAAATGGAGAAAAAAATTGGCAAAATTAATTTACAATCGTAAATCTTTCTTTTCCTCAATTTTTTCTAGTCAAAAACGGTTCTAACAGCGGTACGAATCCGACAGAGTTTACCGGGAAATCCAGATAACGACTGTAGAAATACTGCATGGACTTTGATCAGATGTGCATAACCTCTCGACGATCGGCAATGCAGGCATTCTCTGTAGGAAGTCGGCTTGCCGTCCTTTCTCGGATGGCCTTCCCCGTAAATCCGCGGGATGTCCCAACACTCCCGAAGCTTTATTCAAAATCGGAGTATTATGGACCGTCAATCAATCATTGTCGGTCCATCACGACAATTTTCCCAAATCCTTCAGCATCCTATTTCACTCCAGATCGTTCGAGCCCTTTCTCAAACGCAAGTTAATTAAAAATCATTCGAATGTCTTTCGATCCTCAAATGCTGTCGAACGATTAACACAGACAGGTGGTAAGCGATAATTGGTGGTTGTTAGACGCCGGTTCGCGGATAGTCAGTTGAATATCCCATGCAGCATTTGGACAAGTGAATGGTTGGGGCATTTGAATGTGAATAGTCAGAGGAAGAGAATCAGCCAGAGAAACAAAAAGTGAGAAATTGCATTTGTCTGCATATAGCAGAGCTATTTTTGCTAATAAATTAGCAAATTTTTTTCGAATGGTCATTTCGCTTATCATTTTCTTCTATCGTAAATCGTTTACCGTTTTATATTATTTTGTTTCATTGAATTATATTTCTTCTTCAATCAATTGTATTAGATTTCCTGTGAAAACTCTTGTATAAATCAACTGAAAGAATCATGCTATCTATATTAACTTCTAACTTCGATCGTTGAAAAGTTCACTTTCAGGAAAATTTTTGAGAATTACTCGATAAATCAAAACATCGATTATTCCTATCGCCTTCATCTTCGATTCGGTCAAAGGAACATCGAAACAATTTTTTAAAGCCATCATTCAATGAATTCAGAACATTTTTTTAGTTATCATAGACCAACCGATTTTCGAAAAAATTCGAAAATTCTAAAAATTAGTAATTAAATTAGTGAATTAAATTTTAATTAATATCGACGGTTACGTCTCAACAGTACCTACATTACAAGAAAAAAAATTGAATTCCATCGAACATAACGGATCATCACAATACAAATCGGTAGAGAAGTGGTGAAACCGTGTAAGTCGCTTTTGACTATTGGCCAGTTTTTAGCAAATATCTCGGAATCTAAGGGAGATAGCTAAATTTTTGCCGGAACCTAATTTGTAGCACTCAACTTGCTCTAGAAAAAAGGTTCTTACGAAAATTCCATTATCTTCTTTAGATTCGGAGATATTCTTCAAAAACTAAACTAACAGATAAGTCGACTTAAACCGTTTTACCACTTCGCTACTGAAATGATTCGAGGGGTCATGAAACGTCGAGATATCACAAAATTTCCACATTTGATTTTCGGGGTCATTACAATAACTTCCTCCCTTCGAGTCAGAAAGTTAAAAATCGAAAACTTGATGTTAACGATCACAAAGCTTTCATTCATCGTCAACAAAGGTGATCATATCACATATATAATTCCCGCATAGATAACTTTCTATTCGGGTGTCCACCGTACCCAGGGGAAATCCACTTCATGATGGGAATCCCATTATTTCCCCGGCGATATAAAAGTAGGTAGGTCCAGCCAGTCGTCGTGGCTGTCCAGTTGAAGCTATTTCAGGCCAGTACCAATGCTATATCCAACCCGATGCCGTTCGTCTCACTCTCTCACC